AATTTTGTATTCCTTATAAGTAATTTTAAGTAGTTTAAGCCTGATTTTTAATTAAAATTGAAGTTTTGTTTTTATTAATAAATGAGGGCTTTTGAATCGTGATTTACTCTTTATTTATTGAATTTTTTAAATATTTAATATATATATATATATATATATATATATATATATATATATATATATATATATATATATATATATATATATATATATATATGTTTTCCTCAATTTTTTAATGATTATGGTCGAATTTCGATCACTGGGCGAACACTAGTATTCATAAATACACTATCTAGGTCTGGAGAAACAAGAGTTTTGACCATCCGTTCTTTGCACACATGGATGGGTTTTGGAATAGAAACATTTCATTGTGCTTGCGGCTGAGAAGTTTGCTGGTAGTCAAATCTCTTGTTTGAAAAGACCTAACATTACATCATTACTTGGAATTTTACTCTTAACATGTTCGTTTATTGTCTATATTTTCATTTGTATAAAAAAATCCTATTAGCAAAACCAATGAGATAAAAATTAACTTTTTTTAACCAGAATTATAATAATACCAGTAATATAGTTTGAGGAAGAAGAAAAAAATAATATAACAAAACTTCTATTGTATATACAACAAATACAATTGAATCGATAAATGTTAAACGAGCAATTATCTTCTAGAAAATAATTAAGAATTAAATGAATACTTGAAGTCAGCAAGTGTTTTTAAATTTTTTTTTTATAGCTGACTTCTATAAAAAAAAAAAATGTAGGTTTGCTAATTGTGAATAAGCAAACCTACAGCTTTAAGTTCTTAAGCATTTTCTCTATTCAAAGAAACGATTCGAATATAATATAATTAATGTACACAAATATACATATTGTACTAGCATAGATACTCTCACATAGTGGTATATCCGGAAATTAACGCAACGCAGCAAATGTGCAAACTTTCTATAAGGAAAATGACCGAGACCACAATGATAGATTTGACCACCGCTGTTGATAAGAGATGTTGCAAAAGAATTCAACAAAATCAATGACAGAGAAATTAAAATTGAACAACATTCAGAATATAAGAAACCAAGCAAGTTATTCCCCCGTGAACAACATCTTTCAGAAATACAAGATGTGAAGAAATAAACTTGACAATCGAAAAATTCCAGATATTTAGCATTCATCTATGGTTAGTTAATGAGATGCCTGGAATCATCTCTTCGTGAAACATGTAACATTAAACTGGTGGTGTCACACATTGTAACACCATGCAGGTTATACTTCAAAACACTTGTAGATGTTGAACAATAAATAAATGTAATTTAAATGATAAAACCCTTAAAAATAGGCCATAAAAAAATTGAATATAATTTAAATATAACATATCAACTTATTATATTATCATTAAATATGATTTTTTGTTTTAATCATTAATTAAATTAAACATAATACCCCTGATATGTGCTTGGGAAAATGCGGAATGCTGTAAAATAAATAAATAATAAATATATCACAATTATGAAGATAACTGTTGTGCCCCTAAAAATTAATTTCTTCATTTTTAATAATCTTTTTTATCAATTATCTATAGTTGATTTTATTTAATGATTTAATTAAAACAATAAATTAGTTTTTAAACTTTTACTAGAAGTTATTATTTTTATTATATCTCCCCCCTCCCCCTTTCCTGTCTATTTGGCAATATGGGCGATGGAAGCAGTGGGATGTTACTTATTAAATAAAAACCCACTGCTGCAAGTAAATCTTCAAAATTACATATCTGTCTTTTCTACTCATATATATATATATATATATATATATATATATATAATATATATATATATATATATATATATATATATATATATATATATATATTCTTTGAAGAGAGGACAGTTTTCTTTGATAACGAGTTGAGGGAACTCGTTTTCCGTTAAAACGAAAAGCACAGTTTCCCTCATCAGTTTAGCTCGAAGTGCTGATAGGCAGTGCAGGGCAGGCTATGACCATCTGTTCCGCTCTCTCCGTTGCGTAGGGAAACAACGTTCTTCCGAAAAGCAAAGAGCTCACTTTTGTAAGAAGTGTGTAAAATTAATAAGTTTTTCTCCCTTATCTAGTATCTTAATAATTTTTTGTTTTTCGTGCATTTAATCCATCTCAAGTAAGTTTATAAGAAAAAAGAAGACATTCAAAATTATGCCTTACCGAGCAAATATTAGTGGTATTATATAATGATTATAATAAATTTCTTTATTGAAAAACTTTGCAAATGCCTTTTGGCATATATTGTAAATGTGATCACCATTCGTCAACTTCCTCTGCAGGATTAACATGAATGCTTGATTAGAGAAACCTCCCAGCAAAGGCACTCTTAACGTGACTCTTCTTAATGCAGCAGATCCCTGCTCCAGAGACGTTTGAGTCTTCTTGTTGGATTCTGTGGTAGTGTGTCTGTTAGTAATGTCTGTACAAGGGTATTAGGATGACCAATAATTGAGTCATGGAAATCGTAAAACTTCTACAAGTATTATATAGAAATAAAAAAAAAAAATATTGCACCATAATTTATTTTGCCTAATTTTCGTTATGCAACATTGTTATTTAGAATAGATCGAAAATAAGTAATCTCTCAAATTCCGTTTATTATAGAAACGTATCATATGTTTAGTTAAAGTTCTTAGTTTCTTTATTGAAATTTAGCTTCCTATTTTAAAGACGTCGATGACACAAAACCCAAAATAGTAATGTTATTTAATTATTTTGAAGGAAGCCAAGTTTTTACCATGTGCTATGTATTAATTACCAGATAATACCGATAAATCGAATGACTCGCTGAGATATAATAATATAGCAAGTGGAAGAGTACGGTAGTTCCCTTACATCATTTTCCTATTTGAAAATAAAATCTTTCTTTCTCAACCACTTCATCTGCCAAGAAATTCTATTCAGATTCGCACATAGAGCTGTCTCCCTGTCCCTTATTTATGCCTTCCTTTTTGAGAAAATCCCCGCTTCTTCATCTTTCATACCCCAGTCTCCCCTTTCAAAGCCGTAGTGCAGTTCTTTTTCTAGTGACCATCAACTGATTCCAAATTGCCATAGTCGCCTTACTTGGTTGCTCCTTTCAATTTTTCATATATTTTATTCTTTATAAAAAAAAAATATTAAAAAAAACGAAAAAAAAAAAACGCATTGCTGCCATTGACGACTATATGGTAATGTGAGACTTTAAAATAGAAATTCTAACCGTTATAATGTTTATCCTTGTGAATGCGTTAGGAAGATGTACTTATCAACGCACCGTAAAAAAATGCATGCATTAGGAACATATTGAAATAGATGTTATTTATGAAAATAATATTAATTATATTTTTTTTGAAAAATAATGAATTTCTGGTTCTCTTTTCTAATCCACCAATCTCATATTATGTTTAGATGAAATCGAGAATATTTCATAGATTAGTTTCTCTCTCTTTTTAAATGCTGCATTTAAAGATATTTTTAGTTGAGAGGAATTGAATTGGTCTTGGTTAAACTAATTGTCAAATAATTTTCTTGCACATTAAACGATTGGTATATTGATTATATGTATATATATGAAAGAAAAATGCATTTCATTCACTGACTTAATGGTCATTGTATCTCAATGCTGACAATGCCTATAAAGCTGGAATTTTAATTATTAGTTCTCCTTATAATGAAGTGAAATGAAGTAAAAATATTTTTTTATTATTGTCCTAGGATTATTGTCCCTTTAGTACAAACTACAGATACAGAAAAAATGGCTGTGTGTCCATACATTAATTTAAATATTTACAAATCTCATTAAAATTAAAATATTGGAAGAAGAAAAAAAAAACATTAAAAAGATACTCGTAAATATATATATATATATATATATATATATAAAACAAGCATGGGAAAAAAAACATAAATAAACAAAATCATTTCTGGGAGATCTTGAGAAGTTCTCTTATGTGCATATCGAGATCAATCGGGTTCGGATAGGAGTAGGTGCTTAAAAAGAAGAGATTTAAATGCATACTGTAGATTTTCAACAAGTCTGCGTTTGGGATAATTTGTGCTCTGATAAAAAAAATATTACAAAATCCTAAAAATAAATATTGTTCTCCGATTAACTCGGGAACTATACATCATCTGAGAAACTGCAGGTCTTTAACTCTCAGCTAATGAAATTCTCCTTAAAATGTATATGCAGTATGGTTATTATAAACATCGGATCTTTTCAGGGAAAAAAATATTTAAATTAAGAATTGGAATGGGGGTGTCAACCCCATCACTTCCCAGAGCCTATCCCCTTCTGTCTTTTGTTCATTTAACCGTTTTTCCAAATTTTACATTCTTTCTTTCTTGAAAATACGCTTTAATTGAAATTCCACATGTGACCTCTTCCAATTTTGAGCAAAATCGAACGAGCCGTTTCTGACAAATTGGCATGTCTTACACTTATGAGTGCTTGTCAAAAGTATTGGATGCAATTAGATGAAACTGATATGGGACTACTAGGCACAAACTCGCCCAATCTCTGAAAATTTCAAGAAATCAAATAAACGTTAATAGCTAACATGGTTGTTACATATACCTTTTTGTCTACAGACAAACACGGAACCAAATTTATCTCTTGAGATGTGAAACGTAAAATATGTTAACCTGTCGCCTGTATTCCAATGCTTCAAGGATATTATCAAATGTCTAATTTATCTATTGAATGAAAATTGGTGAAAATATATATAAAAATAAAGTTCAAGTTCAAATCTTGTGACACCCTTACATTTCTCTACTTCTTTCTTGTCAGTATTTTTAATTTCCATCCCCTGTACGAATGTATATATATATATATATATATATATATATATATATACAGATCTATTTATTTTTATATTATATAAAAATAGTTATCTTGAAATAAAATTTTAAAAAGGAACCATTCCCCTTTATGGGATGTTGGCGTATGGTATATCCGAGAGGGCAATATGTCCGCCTTTGCGTTGCATATGATTGATCGGAGTGTCCTTGATGGATACATCGGAGAATATAAACGTTCAAGTGACTACCTACATTTGTATACTCCTACGCTGCGGGTATTTGCATATGTTGAATTTTCGCTTACGAATAGAAGATTAACCTCCATAATAGTAAAATTTTTAAACCGTAGCACCTGTTCTCTGATAAAATAGATGGGGTGTCTTAAGCTTAAATTTTTCCGCTTTCTTCGTTCGTCAGAAGTTGATTAAACTTGTATATACTAGAATAAGCTCAGTTTGTTCGTAAAGTTTAAGATTTTTAACACGTTCTTAATTATAGCCGTGCCAAAATATAGATTATTCTTATCTGTATTGAGTACATTAAAATCTGATAAATAGGCTGATAAATAATGAACGATTTGTGCTCGTGCTAATTGTTAATTAAGTTGAACATGTTATCAATCAATAAAGGCGTCTTTGTCATCCTTTTGATTTAGTTATGTCTGGAAGTAGTCATTATTATCGTACACACTTATGAATTTTCATTTCCTTTTATTTTTTTTTTGTTAGCTCCTACCATGGATATTTTTTATTTTTCGGCAACAAATTTATATGTTCCAATATTGTACACCTCTCAATACTTGATAAAAGAGTTTGATCGTTTGGAAGTTTTTATTTATCTTTTCAAATTTTTTCAAACAACTACTTATGAATACCAGTAAAAACCCGCAGTAAAAAAAAATATATGTTTTTTTTTTTTAGTCAAGCTTTTTTAATAAATTACTCCTCTTCACCTTAATCATAAATAGGCTACTACGCGTAGTGTTTATTAAAAGGAGCATAGAGAGATGGAAAAAAAGGGAAGTTTAAAATCCTATATTATTAGCATTGAATTGTTTAAATTATTTCGTTGATTTATATTTTTTTATTTATTTGCAATTGACCTACGATGGTAATCTGGAATTCCTTCTTCAAGGTTGCATTTCAGTTATTTATTTCTACATTTACAAATGCAACTGTATGCATTTCCTATCATTTCTGTATCATCTTCAACGAAAAAAAAAATAATAAAAAAAATTGGCTGATTACATCTTATGACATGAAATTTGTCATAAGATGTAATGAATGAAAAATATTTGATCTAAAGCTAAAAAAAAATGCATATAAACAAAATATGTAATTGCGAAAAATCTGAGCTTTCGATGTGGTTTTGGAAACTGAGTTACATTATGTTTCAAAAGTTTACAAGTTAAACGTAATTTGTTTAAATTTGTATTTTCTCAATATAGAAAAATGTACTTTAAAATAGTTTTATTATTAAGTATTACAACATCCCAAATTTAAAGTTATTAAGCAATAATGGAAACATTGATCCTTTGGCTCAATAATATTATGATATTATGGCTCAATAATAATTGTCAATAATATTATGAATTAGTTGATCTACAGATTAGGATGTTATGGAAGTATTCCTATTTATAGACGATGTGTTTAGATTTAATAAGAAAATGCGGACGATACATTGCAGAGAAACAATTACGTAAACGTCCAAGATATCTTGACTCTTTGAAGTAGCATATGGTCATATTCAAAGAAGAGATAACGAAACATTTAAGTGGAATCATTTTATTTCTATATCAGTATTTTATAATTATTATATTGAAAACAAAATTTATTATTTTAAAATACTAGTAAATTTAGAGGTATTCATATTTAATATTTATAATTTTATAAATGTTCTTGGTTTTAATATTTTAATGCTCGGCAGAATAATATCTGAAGACAAAAAAGTATATCTTTGTAATAAGTATTCCTAATGATAGTTATGTCTAATAAAATAAGTATTCTTTAATAATTTACAGTTTATGCAAGTTCAATCGTTGATCATGCATTTTAAATAACAAAAGCCCTCAGAAGTTCGCAAATTTAACTAAAATCGAATTCTGGCATTACTCCCCGACCCTCACTCCCCGGCCCGGCAAAGCCTCGTATAGCGTAAAGGGGAGAATAAAAAAAAAGTTCTGCGTTCATACCTTTTATTATTTAAAAAAAAAAAAAGATGCTTTCCTCATTGATTTTTTTTTCTTTTATTTGAATTTCCTTTAATTAAATTTTTCCTTATGTTTGAATTTTTAACACAGATCATTATTTTTAGGAGCTTTGTTTCCTCTTCCTCCTCTCCCCTTTCCAGCATATTTGCTGAATATTCCAGAATATAGCAAATTTATTTTCCGAAAGGTATTTATTTCTAAATAAACAAATGAATTTTCTTGTATGTGTGTAAATTATTATTAAACTGAACGAATTATAATTATATGAACATCATTTTATAGCCATGGTAGTGACATTGAGGAATTGCCAGTTATTATCATTAGGATGACTACATTTGTGGATTTTTTAAAAATTAATTGATAAGGAATCTCGATTAGAGGCAAACAGCCTTTTATGGATATTGGGCATCGATAAAAGCTTAAGTGTACATATTTGGTTCTAGTCAAGTGATTTTGAACAATGGGTATTCATTGTGGAAAATAATCAGTCGATGGTTTGAATAGCACACATGGTTTGAATTCCTTAGATTTATCGATTGCTCGAGTTTGAAGAGGCTGTTTCATTCATTTCAATATTATATTAGAATCTAGAATCCCAGTTCTGATCCAAAATGTTACTTTATGTTCATTGCTTTACTATTAATAACATATATGTAAATGATCTAGGCATTGTTAATGGATTCCATAATGATTCTCATTATACCTGAACATTTAATGTATGCATTAGAGGCGATGAATAGTTGATTTTATATGATCTGTATATAATCAGGATTGTAGAATGCCACGATTTCCAATAATGTGACTTTTTTTTTGGAGGGGTCTTCCCCTTTCTCCCCTTTAAGGCTATACGGGGTTTTCCCGAGCCAGGAGGTAAGGGCGGGGATTTAAAAGATTCCCCCGGCACCGGGACGCGAACTCGTGACTATTTTATATCAATTGTCTGATATATCAGATTTCCAGGCAACGGCAGTGCTGTGCACATAAGTTAGCCCGTTCGGCCCGTGGGCGGGGTCACTACCATTAATGTGACTTGAGAAAACGAAATGTTGATTAAAATCTTTTTCACAAGCTTATGTTTCATTCCATCTTAATGACTTGAGAGCAGGTTTTGTTTGTTAGGTTTGTTTGCCTGCATGTTACAGAAACTGAAGCAGGATAAAGAAAATGGATTGGGAATAAACTTAATATTAGTTTTATTTATTTATCTCTTGAGTTTCCCCATCTAGTATCGCTTTGCTTCTCTTGTCAAAATCTTTGTATTTTTTTTCTTATAGTATTATTGGTCATCGTTTCTTATGGTATCTTATTAATTATTTATAATGATGTTTTAACTTAATTATATATTTTCAATACCTTTTGTATTTATAATTTTCTTATTACACTCACCATACTTTTAAAAATAATTGTTTTCAGAATTATTATGTATTTACATTTTTTATTTACTCATCATATTTCTTATTAATTTTACGCACGAAATAATATTAGTTGCTTAATAATAAATAATAACTGCTTCTTTATTACTCTGTTCCTACCGGTTAACCCAGAGTCCCATGTCGCTTGGTTGTTACAACTTTCATGTTATACGTAAAATAACTTTAATTGAAAACCTGTCAATCTGTAGTCCTGGTATCTATATACTGGATCACATGTTTCATCTGATACGTATGATGTTTCCAAATGGTTTACAAGGTTATTCTTCCCACTACATGTCATACTTCATATATAGCTCGTTAGGTGTTAATCGATAGCCCGCAATTACTGCTGTCCACGTTGGACTAAGTGCAAGGCCTTGGAACAGGGTACGGAACCATTTCGTGTTATTATTCTAACCCAGATAGTGAGACCTGTCGGATCGGTTGGAACAGCTGATCGGAGAAACAGCTCTTTACGTAATGCACCACCTGGCTGGGATCGGCCTCACTTCCCACACTCTCTGAGTAAGCTCATCACCCGGCAGGTATTGAGGCATCTCACTTCCTCCCACTGCTTTCTGACGGATTCTCAGATATCAGGGTGGGATTTGTGAAGAACATGCTTTAAGATCTGTTTTATTAATATCCGAAGTATATTTATGTGTAAGAATATTGATTTAAGTACGAGCAACAACATTTAGCATATTAACATGCAGTGAACTTTAAACCAACTAAAACTAAATAAAAAAAAAGAACACAATGAATAGAATCCTCTGAATACAAAACTACTAGGTTAGATTTGAACATGTTAGAAAGTCTCCAATGGCTCTTCTTGTAAAATGAAGATGTCCAAAAACTATATAGACGAAATAATATTGCTTTAGTTAAATTGAAAAAAAATTGTTATTTTCGTTGAACGCCCGCTTCTGCATTATTTTAATTAACTTATCTCAAACGAACGATTTAGACACTAATAGACAGTTGGACGGGATCTGTCGGTCTGTAATCTTTCGGCCCAAACGTGTTTTTGTCCTTCGGAGGTCTCATTTCATTTCAGATTAGAACCTGGTCCTGGACCGCTATGAAGCTGGCGGTTTTCGGATTGCCAAATATTTCTCAAATTTTATTTTATTTTTTTATTTTTACTTTACGTTCAGCACTTCGTCAGCAGTCCTGTTGATATTTCGCGACACATTTATTTTTTCAAGTAGTGCAATTGTGGATTTTGAAAACATGTGGCCACCTTTCGTTCGCCTCCGGAGCATTTCTGTCTTTCCACGCTTTCACTGACCCCAAAATCAACTGCTTTCAGAGATTTGCTGTCGGGCGAAGCGTTTGACGCTGTGTGGTCTTGGATATAACCACTAGTCTGAAACTATTATTATAATTATAATATTATAATTTATTCTGTTTTAAAAATTAAGGTGATTATTTTTGGAAATAAGGTTCAAAATAGTATTTACTTTCCCGTGTTTCTCTCTCTCCTTCCCTCTCTCTCTCTCTCTCTCTCTACATATATATATATATATATATATATATATATATATATATATATATATATATATATATATATATTTATTTATTTATTTATTTATTTATTTTACTATCTGTATGTTTACCTGTCGTTACTTCTATAAAAATATATGCTTTTCTGCTCCACTAGGCAAATATATTGCTAATGTCAATGACCATTTACCTATAAATTTTTTATTAATTTTTAACGTTTTATTAATTGTTAAATGAATTTATACAAAGTAGTTTATTGTTGTCGATTACTCCGTATTAAAAGCTACATATAGTTACTATTTACTAAATATTTATTTTTTGATGAAAAAGGTAATTTGACTTTTCTTTTGTCTAGCATTGTAAATTTAATATGAAGGAAAACTATAATAAAACAATGTTTTTGAAAAGTTCGGACTAAGAAAATGGGATTTCGGGAAAAAGCAGAACGAAGAGAAAAATATTGAATATATACATAAATATTACTGGTTCCAGGTGATTTTATTTAAAGAACTATTTTCCTAAAAGGTTTCACAGCAACTGTTAAAATGAAACATTTTTTCAAAAGTTCCATACAAGTTTCAACCCCTGCCATAAACAATATAATATTATTAAGAAACTCTATTTGATCTCCACAGTTAACTGAAGCTTAATACTATACAACTATTGTTGTGGAAATAGTTTACCCATAAGACTAAATAAAACCACCAAGACGATGGTTTGGGGCGTCGAATATAAGGGGGTGTCTCAGAATATTAATTGAAAAATAATAAAAACATAAATAATTAGTGTACGTATTGAAACATAAATTGAATAAATCAAATTCGATATTTTTCCTAGTTCCCATTTACTTATTATTCTTATTTATAACTTATTGTAATTAAATATGACTGTTTGTTTTATATATTTACTTATTATTATTTCTTTTACTTCTTAGAATTTCTGAATTATTTTATTTTACTTCAAGCTACATTTCTTTTATATTTATTACAGTTTTTGCCTCTGTTAAAAATCTTTTTATTATATTTTTTATTTTATCTATTTTTTTTTATCGTATTGTATATATGTTATGAATGGGTCTCACTCAGCTATAATATTGCCCTGGTACCAGGTGAGGGGAACTTATCCGGCAAGTGGGCCCTGTCCTGGACATTTTTGCCAACCCTTGACGGCTACCGTAAGGTTGCCGCCGCTTACTTAGCAGAGCGGGAATTGTAATGATCCATTTACCGGGTCCGCCGAGAAAAGAAAATTAACCGACACAGGTGTGAAGCGAACCCACAACGTTCAGATCCGGGCACTCTGGAACTCCGGGCCCCAACATGCTCGGTCATCTCTTCCTCATTCATAAATATTAGCATTGTAATAAATATCTTACAAAAAAATTAAGTTTTCTAAGTAAAAATGACGTAAGAAGTAATATGAACATATGGAAGACTGTGTTATGGTTTAAAGGTATCGACTTTAGGAGATGAGCGAATGCTGAATAGTATGGTTGAATGAAATACTTCGGTAGTTGTTGGTATTAAAAACAAACTAAAAAATGTATAAGAATAAAAAAATACTTAATTATCAAATAACATGTAATAAGGGTTAATACTGGTTTTAGCTTTTCAAAACCTAGGTTTGAGTAGATTTTATTTTTTCGCCTTTAAAGGTCACACAGCAATTTTTTAGTGTTGTATTACGATTTTAATATTATGGTTACTATAAAAATCTAGCTAAATTAAATATAATACTTTTTATAAAATATCCTGTTTTAATTGTTATGTACTCATATTGTTTATATCTTCTGCAGAGTTGTGTCTTCAATTTAATTAATTATAAATATACTCCTTTTTTCTGATTAATTGATCAACCAATCATCTACTCTAGTGTTGCAAAAATGCGAGACCGAAACGAGTTTTGGTCTTACAAATTCAGACTTGGTCATGGTCTTGTTCTTGCGTAACAGTCTCACAACAGTCTTGCAGTTACTACAGTGAGAACTACAAATCAATGCTTTAATACACCAATCAAATAGGTCATGAGCGAGTACAATACTGGATTAGTTTGAGTTGAGGTATAGCTTTGGCTTATTCTTAGTGTTGCCCAAATGCCAGACCGAGACGAGTCTTGGTCTTGCAAACTCAGTCTTGGTCTTGCGCAAGAGTCTTGCAACAGTCTTCAGTTACTTATTAGCTGATTACTATAGGGATATTATTGTAATTTATTATATAAGAGAAACCTAACTAAGTCCGAATGAAAAATGAGAGAAGTTAAATGCAAAAGTATACTGGTTATACCAATTATTAACGTAAAGTAACTAAAATTGTCTAGTATTAGTTTTTTATTTTGCCTTAATTTTTATTTCAAAAATCAATTTTTTTTTACCAGTCTTGCTCTCGGTCTTGTAGCAGTTAGGCGGCGGCCTTGGTTTTGGTCTTTCTTTGCGAAGTGCAAGACACAAACCGATTTTGGGCAACACTAATCTACTCACTTATCAAAAAGTATGATTGAATATAATAGCAACTGTAGAATATATTCTAATTAACACAAGCCTTAATTACTTGCCCGATAATAAATAAAAGAGAAAGTGAAATGGCGTCAATAGAAGGATTCCTAAGAAGACAATATGGTTGGTAATTAACCTTGATACGGGCATATTGAACCACTGGTGGGCAAGGCTTCTATCTACCTTTCTTAGGGTTCTGCCTCAACACTTGGGGTGTGGTTGATGGTTTCCCTTATTGATAGCATTCTCTCCATCTCCATCAGCTTTCCAGTCCTATCTTACCTTTTTCTTGCATTTTTTTTTCTTTCTTTAAGAGATGGTAGAAAATATCTCTGACATTAACGGTGTTCCGTATGCACGAAATCCATCTGTATACGCTGGCAGCGTAAAATAAATTTTCGAATGATAAGAAGAGTTTCATTTGTTATATTTATTGTATTAGTGGTTGTGGTAGACAAATTAAATTTAATTGAATTTTATTAAAATTCACATTAAATAATATATTTGCATGCTGTAGAGATTCAAATCGCTTCTGAAAATTGAATACTCATAAAAAATAAATTAAAGAAAATGAAATATTTTATTTTTTTAGCTTCAAATATTCATCTACACCTATCGACGAACTGTTGATAATCAGCAGATGGTCTGCTAAAAATAATGGCATGGGGTATGGGGAAGGATAGCACCTAGCACTACTTCTTCCCCGACTTGATCCCGACCCGAAAAAAAATTGTATGTCCGTGTAAATCAGAATGAAATTGTTTTTAGATATATCTTATCTTTTGGTCAATTTTGGTGGAATTCATTATGTGGGATATTGTTATTACTAGAAGACGAACTAATGTTGTGCACCCCCATATGCTGTGTTGGATGTACTGCTTGGGGGCTGGCACCCGCGTTATTCTATGCTGCTCGATGAGTCTGCCATCGCTGAATCAAAGTGAGGAATTATTCGGGATTCCTAGGTGGAGGGGAAGATCTTTGAGGACTATTGTTTCTTGAAGTTTGTTCTGTCCTCAGGTTCTTGAGGACTAGGCATCCACAGTAGTTAGCTGGATGGCTACTGTTGTAATTTGTGCATGTTGCAGATGTGTCTCTTGTCTTCTTGCATGTTGAGCTTCCGTCGTTCAGGCCACATCTAACATAAAGCGGTACGTGATTACAATTCGCTCTTGTATGCTCGTATTTTTGACACCTAATGCATTATGATGTCATTCTGTTTTTTCTAGGCTCCTCTATTGTTGTTTTTGTGTAAAATATTGTTCTAAAATGGGAAATTTGATCATTATTGACCTTGAAGTTGATTTAGAAATACCAATGAAGAACATCAAAACTGTGTTTTTGAACCGTTTTACGGTGTTCGTGATGTTTACAGCTTCATAGCTATATTTTTGCAAGTCTTTTTTTATTTATGTAATGTGCGTGTTATGATAGATGTTTTTATTGACGATTCTTCTATTTTTATCTGCAGGGAGTTGGTAAGTATGAATCTCCTGCCATTCGAAGACTGCTTACCAATTTTCGAGTGCTTAACATCCTTTTTATTTTTATGACAGATATTTGTGAGGTAGGGCCTTATAACAAAAAAAAAAAAGTATCATGCAAAATGGATGAATG